CTATTTTGGACATTGAGCCCCAGGTAGGGACCCTTTCACCTCTCTGACACCAAACATGTGGGTGCCACTTTGCAAAGTAGCAGCTGTGTCCAGTAGCCAGCCCAGAGCAGGGCTGGGGGTGCCCTTACATCTGCCATGGGGGGCAGAGGAAGCCATGCTGGGACCTCTGCCCCAGCTTCACCCAACAGGAGTCCACCCAGAGAGCCCATGGCCCCTTTAGCCCACCACTGCGACACAGGCACCATCGCAGCCCTAGGGGCAGCGGGGGGAGTGGGGGACAGCAGCCATGCTCTGGTTAACTACACCCCTCTCTCCACAGACCCTGAAGATTGTCCGCACGGCTGAACTCTCCCCATTCATAGTCTTCATTGCCCCAACAGACAAGGCAGAGCAGGTGGGTGGCCGGGTGCTGAGGCTTGCGTGCCCACAATGGGAGGACAGGGGGGGCACAAAAAGCCTGATCCAGCACCCCAGGGCTCTCTCCCTGCTCCACAGCAGCTTCTTCCTGTCTGCATTGGTTTTTGTGGTCCAGGAGAACAGGGCAACTTCCTCAGCACAAGCCTGAGAAACAGGAACTGGTGATCTGGGAGCTGGTGTCTTCTACAGCTGTAGGCTCTTTCCCAAATTGACACCCCCAGCAACCACCGTGCCTGCAGCACAATCAGCCACTAACAGTGGGGTGCACAGCCCAGCACCCCCGGCACTCTCCAGCTGCAGCAGAGCAGGAACATTTATCCTGCTATCAGCTATGCAAATAGGACATGCAAACAGCAGCTCCTTTCATTCTTTGCCTCATTAAGATGCTCATCCTTCCAAAATTAGGATGAATGCAGCACTAATGCCACAGTTAACTCATGCAGCACCAAGCACTGCCACAGAGAGGGGGGGAAACTCACAGCTGTGCCCCTCCTGGACTCATGGCCAGCCAAGGCCACCTCTCCCAACCTATCTGGGGGTTGTAAAGCTTAAGATAGATAGTTTGCAGGGATATTTATGCATTTGGAGGCATGTTAACCTACAGAGGATTGCAAAGCCAGATGCAGGAGGCTGGGGGAGGAAAAGAGGGGCAAAGCATCAAGGCAGAAAGGGCACTTTTTGGGAGCTGCTGCCACCCCCTCCATGCCCCATCACCCACTGTGCTGTAATCCTGCTGCAGTGGGCAGGGCCAGCCCCGCTGGTGCAGGCACCAAATATAGCTTGGCTGTCGCAGCTCAGGTAACTGCTCACTAGGAGGGATGTAGCAGAGCCAAAATGTGACCAGCAGAGCTCACAAGACCCAGGAAAACTCTTCATTGCTCTCCCCTCTTCCACCCCCCCAAAAAAAACCTGGAGACACAGCAGAGGTGCAGTGAGCACAGCACCCCAGGCTCATCCCTCTCTGGAGACAAAAGCAGAGAGCTATCTCTGGTAGGGAGATACATGGAGATCAGTGTGGAAATCAGTCTGGGCTCTGCTGTCAAGGGCACAGCTGCCTGCAGGGACACACTCCTGGGATGCCTCTGCTAAATAAGCCAGGCAGCTCTGCTTTCACAGTGAAGAAATTTAACCCTAGCCCAGCCAAAACCAGTAGAGGGAAGCTGGTACAGCTCTGCCAGCCAGTGCTGTTCTGGTCAAAAGCCAGTGGGGAGGGACCACCCTGCAGGGATCCTACCTTGAAACCAGCCTTAGGCCTTGAGCTGGCTATGCTGCAGAGCATACAAGTGAGCAGCGTGCTGCTTGGTGAAGCTTCTCCTCCCAGGGAGCTGCCACAAAGCATTCTGAAAGAGAAATGCAACCTAATGCTGCCAGCATTGCATAAAAGGCCAGCAAATCTCCCTGAGATGGCACAACTCCTGGCTTGTCAGACAAGCTGCAGAGCTGCCCTGATACTTAGCAACCACTTGTTTTGGTGGTGGTGGGAGTTTGCCTGTTGGGGTGGGCTGTGACATTCCTCTCCTCCTGAGCACTCTCCTGTTTCTTGCAGTCAGAGGCTCTGGAGCAGCTCCGGAAGGATTCAGAGAGCATCCGGAGCCGATACGCACACTACTTTGACCTCTCGCTGGTCAACAACGGGGTGGATGAGAGCCTCCAGCTGCTGCAAGAAGCCTTTGAGCAGGCCTGCAGCTCTCCACAGTGGGTGCCTGTCTCCTGGGTCTACTGAGAGGGCATCTGACCCCAGCCGCTTCCCATCAACCATCCTGCAGCCCTGGGGAGGCACCTTCTCCTCAACTCCCCTGATCCACACACAGCCCAGCACAGCTCCCTTCCTCTGCTGCTCCATGGACATGATCTCCATTGGTTGACACACACAGGGTTTTTGGATCTCCTGTCCTGGGGGAACGCAGGACAGGGGCTGTCCAGGGGATGGCCACCTCCCTCAGTAACCCTTTAGCTCAGAGCACAGCTCCCTGCCTCAGCAGGCGAGGGAAGGCACAATCCTGCTGTAGCACCCAGCCAATGTCTGCATCAGTCCCAGGGGAAGTGGCAGAGCAGGGGCTCTCCAGGCTGATGCCCCCTGAAGTACACACTGTGCCACAAACACCTCAGAAGCCTGGCTGGTGTCCACGAGCCTTCAAGGAAGCCCACGGTTTAGGAGGCTTCACCCATACCACACCAGAGCTCCTACACCTAAGAGTTTCTCCTAAAAAAAGAAGGGGAAAGAGCAGAAAAAGGCCAACATGGATTTGAGAAAGGTGGTGTGCAGCACACCACCCCCAGGTAGGTCTCACCCTGTGTTCAGAGGTTGGGAGTTTCAGTTCACCCTGTACAACTGTACCTGTAAAAACTCACTGTATTTAAATCCTCACCGTGCAGCTTGGATTGTTACCACCTGGCCAGAGAAACTCAGCAGCAGCTGAGGAAGCCCCATGGACCAAACCCCAGAGGGACAGTTCAATGGGTCAACCAGATCCAGCCACATGTATCTGTTGCATGCAGTAGAAAGTGTCTCTACAAATACCATCCAGGCATGTTTTTCCGAGTCTAGGGTGTACTCCACATTGTATGCAAACATAAAAGCCACCCACATAAAGGGTTTCCTCCTCCTGCAGGAGCGTACTGACACACAAGCCCCACCATGACCATGTCCGGGAAGCATCACCATGGCTCCTGGGCAAACCACAGCCATCATTTAGGTGAAAATCTCATCTGTGTGTTCAGCAGTCAGCTAGGGGAAAGGGGAAGAGGGTTAAGAGGTCTTGTGCAATTTTTTTAAGGATGCCAAAAATAAAATCTGTTGATGTGCAATAGGGACCTTCGTTCTGATCTACTGCAGGGAAACAATGAGCAGCAATAAATGTGTGCTGAAACATTGCCATGACTGGTGTTTTACCTCAGGCTGAGCACCTGCTTACAGCTGAAAGCCTGTTCCCACCTCCCTGGCCCTGCCACACTCAAAGTTAGGCAGGCCAGAGCCAAACAGTCCCCCGAGGCACTGTCAGACCTCTCCAGTAGCTCAACTCCAGCAACGGCAGGAATGGCAAAGGAGGGAAGAAAACACCTGGCTCCCAGGCACATATCCCAGTGATTTTACCAACGTGGAGGGTGGGCTGTAAGCACTTGAGAAGTCTTGACCAGCAGTAAAGACCCCCGAGTGATGTCCACATCAACATGACCACTTCTCTGCATCAGCAGCCTCTTCAGGAGAGCAGCACAAATGCTGGGCACAAGGGACAGTCATTTCCCTGCCCAGCTGCAGCACGTGCGTGTGTTAAGCTACCTCCCCTCCCCATGAACAGACCACTGACCTTTTATAGGAGCCAGATGAGCAAGAAAATCACCTGTTCAAAAATAGGGCTTTTATTTTTTTGTAAACAGAGTAAATAAAAATGGGCTTTTTTTTTCCTGCTCAGGTTCTGAAAGCCACCAGCTGCTGGCCCCACTGCCTGTGTATCTCTAGCACTGGAGGGGAGAAAAGCCAGTTAAGATAGAAGCAGAGCATGGGGCCAAGACAAACGTTACAGAATCACTGCAAGGATGAAGCTCAGAACAAAGCAGCCCGGATCCTTCCCCATTAAAAGGGGATGAAATCCTGGCTCAGCACTACCTCTGTGACAGAAGAAAGACCTCCCACCCCCAGTGGGACACCCCAGATAAGAAAATTAGGACAAATCTTTCTGAAACCACTCAAGCCCCACACCCGGTGCCCCTTACAGAGCTGCCTCTGGCCAAACTTTTCCTCTTGAGGACCCTGGTCCCAAAAGCCCTTTAGAAAAGCATCCTGGCTAGCTGCCTTCTGGTCACTTTGCTTCTGCTCGCCAGCAGCATCCCCACTTCAAGTCTTCAGAGCACATTCAGTATCAAAACTAGGGAAGGCAACTGAAAGCACTGCAGTCCCATCCCAACAACAGTGTAGAGGAGAGCACAGAGCCAGCAAGAGGTAAACACTGACAAGGTCACTGGGGCACTGGGTCTGGGGACCAGCCAACAAGCAGGTCCCTGCTCTATAAAGCAAAAAGCAGGAACTTAATGTTCTAATCCTTTTATGACAAAGTTTCAAAAAGTACTGAAGAACATCTGCATGGTCCATTTGATCTCATCTAGCTGAGGGTCAAGCCAAGCACCCAGTCAGTTAAAACAAACCAGACTCCTTCAAACCAGACTGTCCCCATCCAAACCCTTTCAGACGGGCCATGACAAAGCCAGTCCTCCAGACACCAATACATTCTGAGACTGTCAGGTAGCAACTTCAAACTTGGAAGAAAAGGAAGAAAGACACAGGACAAGAGGGGGAGAACCGTTATTCCTCCCACTCAAGGTGAAAACAGAGACACCAAATAAGAACCAGGAGCTACAGCTTCCCCAAGAGACCTCTTCTATTGGCATCACGGTGTTCAGCTTTAGAGAGCAATCCAGTGCAGGGGCAGTCAGGCACCCCACTCCTCTGCCAACCCTTAAAACAGGATGAGGAGGGGTACATGAGCAGGGCATATCCTGGGCAAATGCACCAGTGCTCAGGTAGAGAGGGATCTGCACACAGTAGAAAAGGATCTTGGAACCTGCTGGCCCCTCTGCCATGCAGCCAGTCCTCTTTTCCTCAAGGCCTCAGACTCCCTCCCTCCCTACTGAGGAGGTTGCCTGCTTTGGACAGATCCAGTCGCTTACTCTGAGCTCTCTTCTACCTCCTTTTGTTTCTTCTTCTTCTTCTTCTTGGTGCTGGTCTCACTGGTCTGTGAAGAGGTTGGAGAGGTCAGGAAGGAATCAAAAAGGAATCTCCCACCACCCATTTCAGGAGGAACAGCCCCACTCCAGACACAGTGCAGGCTTCTCCATGGCCACAAACCTCCCTCACGATCATTTAAACACACAGACTGCCAGCTCTGTGCCAGACACTGTCCTCCCACCCAGGCCTGTTACAGAGCAGAGAGGTGGCCTGGCAGGAACATGCACCCACAAACCACTCCAGGGCACAGAGGGCTGCTCACCCCATCCCTGCCCCACTGCAGATCCATCCCCACAAGCCTCACCTGCCTGATCTCCCACCACCCTCAACCAGTTCAGTCTACAAATGCACACCTTCTCTGCCTGTGGGGAGCCTGGCACTTTGGGGACATGTGCAGCAGGATGCTGATGCATTTATCCCGGAGGTATTAAGGAAAGACAGCAATCTCTCCCACGCTTGGACCGTACCACAGCAGCACCCTGTTACATACCGCTTCTATTTGCTCTCCTCCACTCTCAGCTGCTTCTTTGGCCTTCTTCTCTTTCTTCTTCTTTTTCTTTTCCTTTTTGCTCAGTTCCTCTGGTGGTAGAGTGGCAGGGGATGGTGGGCTCACAGCCTCCTCGCTTTCACTCTCTGACTGTCGCTTCCTCTGTTAGGGGAACACATCACGCACACCATCTTCCAAAGGAGCTCAAGTGATGGGAAAACCAGTGCATGCCCATTGCAACTATTTTGCCTGATTCAATCAAACTTTGGTGCATGCCCGTTGCAACTATTTTGCCTGATTCAATCAAACTTCACAGTTAGCAATGCTTTGAGTGGGGGGGTAGCCTACAGTGGTACCCTCCAGCATATGCTATCTAGGATTTGCTTCTGCCAGAATTGCACCCCATATTTCTCAGTGCTTCCTGAACCCCAAAAGCTCTAGAGTTTGAAACAATACTGCGCCTTTCCAAGTGCATGCACAAGCCCTGACTTAGATCCTTAGATCACGGCACAAGCCCTGACTTAGGGAACTTCAGTTGCAACTCTCCTGGTTTCCCTGGGATGGAATCATAGATTCAAATTTCCCATTCAGGAAAGCTGCATTTTTGAGAAGACTGCAGCACTCGAGTCAATGGGAACAAAGTTGATGCTTCCCTGTTCAACATAACAATCACATTTTTGCTGAAGCTGTTGCACTTGCAGTGTTTATTATCTAACATTCACTGTTGGGAGCACACAGCCCATGACTACTATATGAGCCACAGGCTCATATACACACTTTCTGCATTATTGTTGTTCCTATTATTAAGTTTAGTTTATTTCAATCATTAAACTGTTCCTGTCTCAACCTACAAGTCTTCTGACCTTTCTCCTTTGATTCTCTCCCTCACTCCACCAGGTAGGGAGTGAGTGAGCAAGCAGCTGTGTGGTGTTTAGCTGCCTGCCTGGTTAAATCACAACAGCAACTCTTGCATGCACGTTTCTGTCACTGTCTGTAGTTTCCAGAAAGGTTCTCTGGCACAACAAACCTCTATTGTGGCTCCATACAACATATTTCCTTGAATGCTGCAGCATGTATGCCACAAGTCAGAGCTCCTCATTGTCACACTGTGCTATCAGACTTGCACCCTAAGGACAGCATCCCAGAGACAAACACCTGGGGTAAAGCCCTGGGTCATCCTACAGCTAAGCTAGCTCACGGGCCATGCAACCACAAAATACTTCGGGGCACCAGACTCCCAAAATACAGAACACCTTCTCCGGTAAACCAACCAACCAAAGCAGCCTGATACCGACTGACTAAAGGAACCGGCATGTATCCACTCTTTGTAAGTGCCCAAACAACCTTACATCCAGAGAGCACTAACGATACTCACTTTTTGAGGCTTCTCCAGCTCTGAAACAGCTTGGGGAACAGTAGCTGCCACTTTCTTGGAAGCATCCCTGAAAGAGAAGATGCCCAGGCTGAGCAGGAGAGCCGCTGCACAAGCACAAAGCTCTGCTCCCCTCACAATGACCTCCATAACCCACACCAGGCACTGGGTGAGGAGACTGGTGTGGGGAAGACCTGCAGCCTGCACCAGGACCAGCTGGGCTGGGCAACAGCAAGGCCTCCCCCATTTAATTTAGCAGACTGACTCCCTCTAAAACCACAAGCACAGGCTAGAAAGGGATAACTGTCTGCTCAAGGCCTTTCCCTCCAGTGCTGTGCACCAGCAGCATATTCCCTGGGACTGCAAGAAATGCCACCGCGGGAACCACACACCCCACACCCACCTGTAATCCACATACTCCTTCTTCCAGGAATCCGGTGTGCTCTCATTGGGCTTTCCATGCTTGTCCAGCAGACCCTTCTGGATCATCATCCTCTTCTTACTGGCCTGAGAGCAACATGCAACAAGTCAGACTGCAGCTCCAGGGAGGAGAAATCCCCCATGGGGTTTCAGCAACTTGGACAAAGAGGAGGTAATCCAGGAACAAGCCAAGTCAACAAAGACAGCATTACTGAGTTAACACTTCTCCAAAGACCTTCTAACGAATCACACAAAACATCCCCTGCACAGCAGCCTACAAATCTCAGACAGGAGGCATCTTTACTGGTAAAAAAGGTCCAATTCTGGGGGGAAGTATCAGCAGCAGAATGACTCTGCACATCATGGAGCTCAGATCTGCGACTGGGTATCTTGAGCTTAATGACCTGCTGCATTTCAGCTGAACCACTTGAGCTGCAAATGCAAGGCTTTGCTAAAGACTCTAAGACGCCTGAACTGGCCCACATTGCCTCACTTTTACTATGAGACAGATGTGCAAGCACCCCACAACTTTCTCCATTTCACCTGAACGACAGGAATTGAGTAAGTCATAGCAATTTGATACTGAGTTTTAAGTTTGAGCTGCATCACTCGCCCCAGTGAAACACCAGTCTGGCTGCAGTTAGGCTATCACTGCTGCCCTGCTGATTTCCATGGCTATCACATGCTTGAGATAGGAGATGAACTGAACAGGTGCTCCAACTGCTCCTGTCCTTCAGACACAATTTAGTGTCTCACAAGACAGTCTGCATTATGGCACAGTGATTGTTGCACCAGAAAGGAAAGCAGCTCCTTGCCCAGCCCGTCCAGAGCCATCAGTATGGGGTGATAGATGAAGGTCATCTTTGCACAGAGTGCTAATGCCATCCACTTCGCATCATTTGGCTCTTTACCAGAGGAAAGCACTGGTGCAGCTGTGCCCGAGGGGCCCAGAGGCCCACATCCCAACACCTGGGCTCCCACTGCCACCCTGGGACTGAGCGTACCCCCCCACCACTCACCTTGGGACCGAGACCCCATTTGCGGGGATACGTGTCTCTCTCCATGATCACTCTCTTGATCTTCGCCACAATGCCGTGGTCGCAGGTAGAAATGACTGCTGTGGTCATCAAGGCAATGGCTGCAGAAGCAGGGAGAGTTCATTAATTCTTTAATGGCAGAACTGGGACAGCAGCACAAGAACCTCATGCACTCAGCCTGTTCTCCCCTCTGTCAGCACAAAGAGGGGCAACACTCCCCACCAGTGCCATTTCACCACAAAACCTCAATGAAGCTAAGTTCTGGAGTAACAAACCCTTCAGAGAGCTGCACCACTCAAAGGCAGCAACCACATCAGTCATGGATTAACCACACCATAAGCACAGGCCTCTCTGGCTTACACCAGAAGACCAGTTCTGGGTCAGTGACCACAGTAAGACCAACCATTTCCCAGAGCAGCACCCTCACCACCACAGCATGGGGAAAAGCTTTGTGAGCAGCTGCTGGAACACTTCCAGGCAGCTGAAGAAACCATGTCACTACAGAAAGGTGCAGTGCAGCTCCTTTGTCAGCTCACAAAACCTCATCAAGCCAAACTAGAGACCAATCCTACCAATAAATCACGTTTTTCTTGCCAAGTCCCCAAGATGACCAGAGTGCAGGCAGTACAAACACGGTGGGACAGCTTGGCTATTTTACACCTCCAAGGCTCTTCAGGTCCCATAGGTATGGATGGAGCATGAGGCTGTGTAGCACCGAGCACCATGACAGACCATCTGTACAGTGTGCTAGCACCTGCCAGCTACACAGATTCTTTGAAGATGCTGGTTAGAACAAAGCACCCTTTTAAGTCACTCCTTTGAGTCATAGAAGCTGGGAGTTGCTCCATTCCTGTTACACTGATCTGCTCAGGAAACGTGATGTGCAGGCAGTAGTATGTGATCAGACATCATCCCTCATCTCAGTGAGGATGGAGCCTCCCAAGAGGGGCTCCAACCCTGCCAGCACCACTTCACTCCTGCAGGCAGCCAGCCACACACCACAGCAGCCCCCAGGAGGACACTGGGAGACTGGAGGGCCTCTGGAGGCTGCACAGCACCCAGACCCTAGAACAGGAATCGGGGTGCTGCAGGAGTGCAGCACCACTGCACTCAGAGAATGGATAAACTTCATCATCACCTCACACACAGAGCACACCTGAGCATCACGCAGCTGAAAACAGGCTGAGGAACTCTTCAGACCTTGCCAAGGACTGATGAAGCCTCTGTTTCTTAACATCCTGTCTAACACTAGCTGCCTTGGGCCTTGCTAACCCCCAGTCCCCATCAGGAAGCACTATTTAAACCTTCTGCCCATGGGGACTCACTTGTTGTGCATTCACTGAAGCACAGTGTTATTTCTGCAGTTAGTTGGGCACAAGGAGTGTCATACCTAGGCAAATAGCTTCTCCTTTCGTAGTGATGACAACAATCTCCTGATTAAGCTCAATACCATCTTCATACCTCAGGACACCAGGCAGCATGATCTTGGCTCCATAGCAAATGGCATTAACCTAAAAACACAGGGAACAGGCAGATATAAACCTTATAGAAGCTATTAGAGAATAAAAACAAGGCAAGAAGTGCCTCTAATACTTTGGCTTTCCTTTGCCATTACTGCCCCAGCAATAACAGTCCCACATAACTACTTCTTATTGGACACTATATAAAACTTCAGGGCTTTGAAAAAAGCCAGCAAAGCAAAGCACCTATCACAACAAACATGTAAGGCAGATCTCTTATAACTGTCAGCATCCTCCTGAAGTGAGAAGAGCAGCTTCTCTGCCACTCTGTTCTTGGCTCTTGCATCTCACTGCTGATCTGGCAGTGGCCCATACTAGGTCCTACATGGCTCACAATCAGGACAGCAGATCCTGATCCCTCATTTATTATATTAGCTGTACAAGTCAGGAGGACACTTTGCAGTCTCTGGCTGCCAACTGGCACCATCTCAGGAACTCACCGCACTGTCTTTCACAACTATTCGCTTGTGCGAAGTCAGCAGTTTCTCCAGTGGCAGGATAACTCTTCGCAGGTAGCTGTCATCCTTGTTGTTGTCGTACTGCCACTGCGCATCCAGCACATCATGCAGAGTCACTATGTTGTCCTGCAAAGACACAAGCCCTCTTAACTTTAAAAGAAGCTGAGAGGAGACACAGCCAGGACAGCTGACCCAAACTGACCCAAGAGATATTCCACGCCATAAAGACATCATGCTTAGTATATAAGGGGAGGGCAACTGGCCAGGGGGTGTGATCACTGCCTGAGGACTGGCTGGGTATCAGTCAGCAAGTGGTGAGCAGTTGCTCACTTGTTTTTATTATCTTTTACTTTTTCCTTGTCTTATTACTACAATTTATGATTATTATTAGTAATTATTATTGTGTTTGTTATTAAATTCCAATCACTGAACTGTTATTATCTCAACCTATGAGCTTTCTTATCTTTTTCTTCTGATTCTCTCCCCCATCCTGCAGTGGGGTGGGGTAGGGGAGGTGAGCTGCGTGGTGCTTAATTGCTGGCTGGGGTTAAACCACAACGCAAGGAAAGAAGTTAGTTGTGGAGTTCAGACAAGCAGCAGGATACAGCTACGACCTGACTGAAATGACTGTTTAAAGACCACACAAGACTGCATCTCCCAGGCTCATTTCGATGAAGCACATTCCCTGCATGGTACCCTGACATCAAGCGGTCACAGATGGCTAAGCAGATTGCTCACATGCCTGAACTCGTGGCACACATGTGGTTTGTAGGCTGAGAAACACAGGTGGCCTAAAACAAACTTTCAGTCACCATGGTGCACTTCCCAGTCACTCACTGTCCCAAAGTTTAATTACCAGAACAGGGAAAACACCCTGAACTGAACTCAACACCTTGGTTACAGGCTGCCTATGACAAGAGCTCCCACATTTTCAAGGCTATTCACAGAACTCCTTCCAGCCACCTTCTCCTAACACTGTAAAACTAATGCGGTTCCAAGGAACTCTTGCAAATCTGACAATTTCAGATTTGCTGGTTATAGAGTTTCCACTCTACCTCCTCTCCCAGGATGCCTGAGCGTACTCTGCGGAGCTCCTGCATCTGGCCCCCCACACCGAGCAGCAAACCAAGGTGAACACAGAGCGTTCGGATGTATGTGCCTGCTTCACAGCTCACCCAGAAGATACCTGAAATGTAGGACAGGGCAGAAGAGTATTTAAATACATATCCAGAAATGAACCACATCTCCAAGAGAAGCTGTGGGCCCAACCCTTCGCAGAGCCATCAGCCTGGGGTGATAGATGAAGGTCATCTTTGCACTGAGTGCTAATGCCATCTAATTGACATCATTTGGCTCTTCAAAGGACACAGCAGTACAAAAAAAATAGATAGGATTTGCTTCTCAGCACAACAAAATAATGCACGAAGCAGTTATCCTTGATGGTGCTGAGGATTTATATCTTAAGACATCTACTAACAATAGGAAGAAGCCCATTTCACAGGAAATAACAGCTCTCAGCTTAATAGGAAGAAGGCAGGAAAGCCCCATTTTACCTAATCTTCTCTCAGGATCATACTCCACCAGTTTGCTCTCATAGATGGTTCTGACTCTTAGTTGTCGTTTGACAGCAGCAATGACGGGTGGTCGCTGAAACAGTGCGCCTGTCAGAGTTTCTATTGCCTGAAGGTAAAAGCAGAAGTAGTAACACTTCACACCTGTGCATGAACATGGGGCACCTTGGGGTCTCCAGCAACTATGACCACTTACAGAAGTCAGAAACTATAAGGTTCATTTGGTGTTGCCACATTTAATAAAGACAGTTTGAACCAGTGGTGTGGTCATAATGCTACCCCAGCTCCCAGTGAGCACAGCTCAGACTTTTTATCAGGTGATAGTATGTGATCAGACATCATCCCTCATCTCAGTGAGGATGGAGCCTCCCAAGAGGGGCTCCAACCCTGCCAGCACCACTTCACTCCTGCAGGCAGCCAGCCACACACCACAGCAGCCCCCAGGAGGACACTGGGAGACTGGAGGGCCTCTGGAGGCTGCACAGCACCCAGACCCTAGAACAGGAATCGGGGTGCTGCAGGAGTGCAGCACCACTGCACTCAGAGAATGGATAAACATCGTCATCACTTCACACACAGCACGCACCCGAGCTCTGCTTCTATCCTCTTTGTCTCCCACCAATACTGAACACAGCATGTAAAGTACCAGCATGGCTAAGGGCATGCTGAAACTTACCCTGGCAAGCTGAGCCTCACTCTCAATTGCATTGTGCAGCCGAACAATTCCCACATACTCTTTGCCTGAAAGAACGACAAGAGCAGTCAGGAGTGGCCACTTGCATTTAATGTTGACCTCAAGGTCCGTACTGCTTTACAGCCACGTATCCACAGAGCCTTGAAATTTTCACAACCACCTCTCCTAGGAAGCACTGTTTACTGTGGAGTTGGTTATTCTTCTAACAAAATCAATCTAAGCTACATTTATTTCTTCGCTAGGTTTTACTTCACTGGACTGGTACAGGCTGAGGCCATAAGTTCAGTTACTACGTGAAACCAGTCTGTCAGAAGAGTTTTTGCTGACTTTAAAACAGCACAGGCCCCAGAGAAGCAACCAAAAAAACCTTGTAACAGCACTGATGCACCCTCACTGGCTTGGATCAAGACAGACAAGCAACCTTTAAACTCAAGACACTGATGACCAAGCCCTGTGAAAGACTGGAAATCTCCGTTTTGTCTCCTTCTGGAGACAACTCCACACCTCCCCAGTCACTGAGACTGTACATGGTCCTAGGCAATACACATACCTGCGCTCTGCTGAGATTTGACCAGTCGTGTTGCCCTCTCAATGCACACAATGAGGCACCCGGTCACCTTAGGATCCAGAGTGCCACTGTGTCCAGTCTTCTCTACTCGAAGGATACGTCGGATCCATGCAACCACCTCATGGGAAGATGGATTGGAAGGTTTGTCAAGGTTAATAAAGCCAGATCTGTAGAGCAAGATGATGGAGAGCAGGAGCTAAGCATCAGGGCAAACACAACAAAAGCACAACAACTTTGACCACATTTGTCGTAGCTGCAAAAAAATGTTATTTCTCTACAGCCAAATAAGTGATGAGCCTCACAGCTGCTCTCAGCGAGCACACCAAGTGGCTCTGTGCACAGCAAGCGATACATCCCACAGTCAAACAATTCTCTTCTCCCCAGGCTGTTCACTACTACCCTGCACTTAAACCCAATCAAATGCTGCAAACAAACTCCCAGCAGGGCAGAGGACCTTCCATAACACCCCAGAAAATTCCTCAAGGGTCCATGCACAGAATCACAGAACGTTAGGGATTGG